ATACAGGCAAAATATTATTATAATAGAAGCATTTTTCACAAAAGGAGAACATTTTGAAAAAAATGTTATTCTAAGTTAATTTTTTGCCGAAATATTGTATTTAAATAAATTTTTTTTGTCAAAATGGGGCCTTAAAACAATTTTATACATATATTCTAATCTAAGTGAAGCTAAATATCATGAAAATTATTCATTTATACGCTTTTTTAAAATCACGGTTCCGAACGTAGTCGGATACCTTAAAATGTTGAACACACATATTATACACAACAAAACAGGATTAACTTGGAGAATCAAAAAAGGAGAAAGAAAAATAACTCTTTAACACTGCCAAAAAGAGCGGAACAGGTTTATTTTGTGCCTAAATAACACTTAACCACTCACACAGCTAACTCCCATCGGTAAAATTATATCGAAGAAATACCCCTATTGATCTTGTTGTCTGCGCATCTCCAATGCTCTTCCACATCAATAGTGGTGAAGGAGCAAGAACGTCGATTGCCTGTTATATCAACCAATGAGAATCCGAGGAGTCATGCGGTCGATAAAGCCATAGCATGATGGTAAAGTGCCTTTAAAAGGAAAGAATCTACCAAATTCTGAAAAGAGAGATTGGGACTTTTAGCGGAACTCTTGCCCTAATTGGGAAGATTTCGGTAAATAAAATTATTTTGGGGGAAGATCGTCCATTTTTAAGAAAACAGGGAAGGAAATTATAGAAAGAAGAGTTATTTAATTATGTTTTCTCCTTACAATGTGGTTGTTGAATAAATAGTTTTCGGAATATTGCTCCCATTTTATTGTAGATTTAACAGAATTGCAATCGTGAAAATAATAAGGAGAGAATTTTGTTAGTCAAGTCATAAACATGATAGACATTTCTGATTAATTTTAGAGCACTCATCTTTAAATCATGAAAATTGAGCAGCACGGAGATAAACTGGTGGATAAATTTCAGTGTTCTCGAAAAATTTGTTTGATAATAATCAGGACTGCGATGAGGGAGTAGATGGTGTATTTAAGTTTTACATTGTTTTTCTGAATTGATCATGCTACCTCTTCTGAAGTTTTTTTCCCCTGAAGTTAAATTTGCTCAATGTAACATAAATTATATGCAGTGCAACAACCGAAATACGTATAACCAATAAGAAGTCCACTTTCAGGAGCTATATCTATGTTAAGATTTTAATTAATTGAGATTTTGTGTGTGTGTGTTAATATATCATTAAATATTTTCTTATTTTTGTTTTTATTAATTTTTGTTTCCTCTTTATGTATTTAAATATTTATATAGACAAAGGGGAAAAGAATTATTTTCTTACTGCACAAGCATTTTACTTTAATATGAATCAATATTATAACTACCATGAGAAATTGTTGAGTATAACAATTCCGTAGTAGGGACAGATGTTGATAAAATTCTTTAAATTACATATCCTTTTCCCCACAATTGTAGGAAATTACTACAGATTAAAATAATCACTATTTCATTGAATTCATAATTGAAAATATTTTTAAAATTTAGACTAGGCAAGTTATAAACAGAAACTTCATAAGAAAACGTTTATAATCAATAGTATATGAAAAAAATAACCTTTAATTCTTTAATCTACCAATTATTTTGGATTAATAATTGTAAATCTTAATTTTTTCCTTCAATTTCTAAAAATATTTTTATATCCATATTTTATTTGTGAGATTTGCAGATTTGCTGGAAGTGTATAGAAATATTTTCAAATTTTGTAAGCACAATATAATTAGGGAAACCATTATTTTTAGCTCTTTCAGATCCATATTATTGTATTCAAATTAATGCACAAGTCTAGGTCTGAGAGCGAACTTTAAATTCTGTAGGATTGACATTACTTTCCCGAATTCTAAATGGATTGAAATCGGAAGACTTAACTATTTCAACTCTGCCCCGGAAAGTAGTATAATGTATAATATTACTACTCAGATCTTTTTTTTTTTCATTTGTACTGTTATCATCTATCACAAGTCATTTATCACATAGGTAATATAAACATTTTTCTTGTGTTTTACAACAGGTTAGTTCTGTTCTTGTGAAATACATCCTTATATTCATTACCTGGTGCCATTTGTACTAAGAACTTTTGTTTCTATCTAGTTGTTGACCTGGCAAAGAAACTGCTGATATTTTTTGGAAACTTGTTACAGTGTTGCTCAGTTTTCACTTAGTTGTCACTGAACTACAACTACAGCGACTTATATTCTTGATTTTTTGGAAGTTACAAGGATCTTTTGAAGTCAATTTCGCTTCATACATTAATCTTGGCTCGTTTACAATGCTTGTTGGAAGAAAAGACGTTATTCGAAATGTCGTGTTGGGTTTTCTTGTGTTTTCTGAAATATTTGGATATTGTTATCAAGACTTAATCTCTACAAAAATCTGACATCTCAAAGTAAAAGCATATTCTTGAAGTTTACCGTCGTTTAAATAATCATTTTTTAAAGAAAATTGCTGTTTATAAGAAAAATCGCCATTTTTGTTGCATTTATTGAAGTGATAGTTACAGATACATTTATTTGTTGAGTGGGGGTATGGAGCAATAAAGACTATATCCCTATTGAAATGATTTAATGAGATTTATTCAACTGTGAACTGTGCATTATCTTATATTTAGTAGGAAATTACTTTTTTTTAGGCTTGTTTACTTCGAGTAGTTGTAAGCAGTTCTTTTCTCTTTATTTTGGAACTATTTTAACGAATGAACTTGGCGCTTCTTGATTCTTTGTTGCAAATCAATTCTATTCCAGTGTTGGAATTGCTATTTTAATGGTTAAATCATTCAGTAATCGGAAAAAGAGTTTCGAAGCTGAAGAAGCAAAATTTTATTCTGTACTGATAGACGGATCTTCCTCTGTTTCTATTTATTATTAGCTTTGGTAGGTAAGAATCCAGAAAACTATTTTGAGGATGTTGTGAAATATCTTTATAAATAGTTAAGTGGAGTTTTGAGCATGGCAGAAACAGACAACAAAAAAATTTCCGATCAACAAATCCAATTAAATTCTAAGAGAAAGTTTTACTTAAACCTTTAATGAGAAAAATACTCTTAAAGTTTAGTCTTTTTTCTGAATAAGTTCACTTAACAGGTATATTAAATCCGCATAATTACTACTGCGGATATGTTTTTTCGTATTTAATTACAGATTAAGAATATTCCCGGACTTTTACAAAAAGGCTTAACATATTTTCATTTTTCAGTTCTTACTATTAGCTCACACTCTCTATATATTTATTTATTTGTTTATCTTGGTGAAATTTTCAATCGTTAATAAAATACATTTTAAAGCGCTCAGTTGAGCTGAAATTTTATATACATGATTATTTTGGATGACAATACAGCAATTTAATTATAATTAATAAAAATTAATTGATTGAAACTAATTATTTAAAGAATTACAAATACAGCCACGTTGGCATCCTTTTTGGTGACTTAGTGACCCTTTTGGCGACGTGTCAAAACTTGAAGAGGTTTTTTCTTACGTTTTAAAGCATTCAGTTGAACTAAAATTTTATATACACGATAATTTTGGATGACAATACGTTACTTTAATGATAATTAATAAAAATTAATTACCACTTAATGTTGTGATTTTGTCATATGTATATACATATTTCTATTAATTGTAACTGTTTAAAAAAAAGTAGCTAAAATAAAATTTTTCTTTGTTGATCTAAGTAGGAATTGACTTAAAAAAAGTTTTTTTATATTATTTCTTTTGTTGGCTCTCTTTCACTTAAGTATATCTATATCTACAACATATTGTATTTGTGACTGCTTCCTTGAATATTAACAAAGTGCGAGGTCCGTTGCCAATAGTCCCAGTGTAGCTTCAAAGTCTGACGCTAATATAAACAGGTAATATATATATATATATATATATATATATAAATTCTAAGTCAATTCCTACTTGGGTCAACAAAGAAATTTTTTATTTTAGTTAATTTTTATTAAATAGTTGCAATTAATATAAATATGTATATGCATATGATAGAATCACAGTATTAAGAAACAAAAAAAAAAAAAGGCGAGTTTCCTTGTAATTTTTCATTTTCCTTTCTATATAGGGTGTTAAACAATTTTTTTGTTTTGTTTTTTTTACTATTTATTCATTAATTCAACAATTATTCTAATAAAATAGTACAGTAAAAAAGAAATTACATTCTCAGAAATTAGGCCATCTCAGGTGAGATCCGAATCCACGTTTTTGGATTAGAAGTCCAACACGCTATCCATTGCGCTACAGAGACACAACGAATGATTTTCCTTTCTATATATGCGGTTGGACTATTATTTTTGCTTGTTACTATTTATTCATTTTTTAATTTAATTAATTGATGAATATTTGAAAAAACTGTATTAATATCAAGTGTCATCCACTACAAGTTTAAAAAAATGCTTTTGAACTTGAATGGATGAGTAGAAAGTATTTTATTAACGATTGAAAATTTGAAAAATATATATATAGGGAGAGAGTGAGTTAATAGTAGGGATTGAAAAAACAAAACAAACATAGAACATTTACACGCTAGTGACATCAGTGTTATTGTTATACTTAATAAATGTTGTATTAAATTTAATCTCTCTCTCTCTCTCTCAGCTATTTTATTCTAACTACATGTTAAAAATGTAGATTTTTTTAATTTAATCCATACATTTATTTTAAGCACTAATAATTGCTTGTAATTGAACTACATGCGATTATTATCAACAAATATTTTTCTTATTTGGTTTGTTGTCAGGTTAATATTTGATGGAAAATTTGACTTTTAGTGGATTTAAGTTAAACCAAAAGCAAAGTTTCTACTTAAAAACATTCACCTCTTATACAATGTCAAGTATTTCAACTAATTTATAACAATCTCCCTATGCATATCCATCATGAATTTTACAGTTTATGTAAAAAACTCTTGCCTTGTGTAATCATTTTGATGAAATCAAACACCTTTTATCACTTTCACAACAATACTTACTATCCCCCACAAACATTAAATTTGAATACGCAGATATTTTATAAACGATTCAATGTACATCATTTGAAACTACTAATCATAACCATCTTGTCATTCACCAAACAATTCAATGCCGCATATTTCTACATCGCCTTATCTCTTTTAGGATAGTCGCATCTTTCTCCCTTCAACATCGGCGGCTCTGTCGACACTTGAATCCGCGCATCTCGTTGATTTTTTCAGCCGACCCGCTCGCTTCAGATTACCGCTGAGATTCAGGCGTTCTCTCTTCAACAGAGATGGTCCGAGTGTTTGCTTTGGAGTAGCTATTTGAAAGGAGACTCGATGGAAATAGAGTGTTTTGTTGGATTTTAGTTAGAGAGATTTATGCTATATATATATATATAACATGATAGTTTGGCGTTAGTTTCATCTTATATTGGAGTTAATTTTTGAATTAAGGTTTGTAATCTATATTTAATGATTTGTCAGCTACCAATCAGGATAACTGGAGCGTTTGTTTGAGGTATCCGACTACGTTCGGAACCGTGATTTTACAAAAGCGCATAAATGGATAATTTTCATGATATTTAGTGTCGCTTAGATTAGAATACATGCATAAAATTGTTTTGACGAAAAAAATTATTTAAATACAATATTTTGGCAAAAAATTAACTTAGAATAATTTTTTTTCAAAATGTTCTCCTTTTGTGAAAAATGCTTCTATTATAATAATATTTTGCCTGTGTATAGCTCAGACCTCTGTACAGAGGCTCATCTAGAATTTTTGAAATATATAGCTTAGAAGTGGGTTTATCCATGTTTTACGACAACAGAGGGGAGAAATTTTAAGAAAAAAAAACGCCGATAGTTATTTTAAATGGTTGTAACTCTGAAAATAATGTGAATTTTTCAAAAATCATAGTTGAGCCTTTGTACAGAGGTCTGAGCCATATACAGGCAAAATATTATTATAATAAAAGCACTTTTTATAAAAGGAGATTTTGAAAAAAGGTTATTCTAAGTTAATTTTTTGCTGAAATATTGTATTTAAATTTTTTTTTTTGTCAAAATGTCCTTAAAACAATTTTATGCATGTATTCTAATCTAAGTGACACTAAATATCATGAAAATTATCCATTCATGCGCTTTTTTAAAATCACGGTTCCGAACGTAGTCGGATACCTTAAGAGTAATTTACTGACTGGTAGGAAAGTGTAATGAAAAAATGGGGCGTGTTTCAATAATCTATAGTTCAGGAAATGTTGGGATTCTATAACTTTGCCCCATTTCTCAGTTTTGTATTGAAGTTAATTTTTCAAGGATGTGTTTGTCATTTGCTAATTTTTGTACTGATGAGGGGGCAGAGGATCTTATATTCAAAATAGAATTTGATAGAAAGAAAATGAATTGTTAATTACAGTTCACACATTTGGATTTAATTCTTTTAACAAATTGGATAATTTTGCTTCATTTGCTTATCCTCTTTCAGTATATAAAGAGTTTTTATTAAAACGGTTTTCAAAAAGATACTTTTATGCAAATGAAATAACTTATCATTAAAATATATTAGGTGTGATTTTTCGATTTAAAATTTTTTTTATAATCTTAAAGTTGTACAAACTAAAATTATGTTTAGAGTGACGTTCTGCGTTCAATATTCAAAATTTTTAATGTTAATGTGCAATTAAAGAATCCTTCTACAGGATTTCCAAACAGTTTCCAAAAGTATGACTCGCTTCTATACAAGATAGTTACAAATAACATCTATATTTTTGAAAATATATTATTGCTTTCATAAGTTTAAGATTTTTTACTATTTCCTTAAAGTGATGCTCAGTTAGAAAAAAAATTATAAGAAAATAAAAATTTTTTAAAAATGTATAGATAAATTTATACTAGAAAATGCATGGAAAAGCGCAGACAATAGTTGAAAAAATTATCGAAAAAAAAAGATTATTTTGTTTTAAAAATGCACACACACACAATTAATATTTATGCCCATCCCCTGTTGCAATATAAAACGAAGAAAAGTAACTTGAATTCGAATTATTTTGAAGAAACTCACTTATTAATTTTTGGGGGACAATTTATTAAATAGCATAATTTTAAATATGTAATTTGAATATTTTTTTCTGTATTTCGCGTAGTTAGATTACACTAATGTCTATGGATTTGATTTCTCAACGTTAAAGAATAATACCTCAGATTTGGAAGATTTTTTGGACATAAACGTATTTCAACATTAATACTATATTCTGCCTTCGCTACCCTATAGAAAAAAGCATATTTCGTCTTAACATTCATTTTTATATGAGTTAACCTATATTTTCTGGTACAAAAGGTGTTTCGTATTTTTTCTCCTAAACCTTAATGTTAAATGAGATATTTCTTTACACGTTAAAAGGTAAAAATAATTATTTAGGAAATATTTTGAAATTTTAAAAACGTTACACTATAAAAAACAGATGTATGATTTACGACGTTGCAAGTTTTCTTGAAAATTCAAACATTTTTCTGTCTGAAAATGAGCTTTGCGTTTATTTCAGTCTCTCGTACATTTGTCAAAGACAGCCTTAAAAGATCTTCATGGAGAATGCGAGGTACGGTATTCCAAATTGAAACGTGCTTCATAATTTTTTTTGATGTGGTGTGGAAATTTTGTTCGTGAGGGAACAGATCAATTGCCATTCTCGTGTGATCCGGCGTTGATTAAATATTACAAGTTCTATCTAAGATAGTCACTTGTGTTACTCTAAGGCCTTTGATTTTATTTGGTAAAACTAGAGAATTTAGTTTTCACATTATAAAAACCTTGTCTTCACAATAATTATTAATTTTCCTTCTTTAAGCAAAACTATCCGTTTGGGAATATTATAAAATAATTATTTCTGTAATCACTTAAAAAAAGTATTTATTACTATAAAAAAAATTGACCAATTAAAATAAAAAAAGGATTTTTTAAATCTAATAAAAACTATATTTGAATTTTTTAAATACAATACTGAAAAAACACTTTAGCAAAATTGTTTCACTTTTAATCAATCATACAGAAAATATTTTCAGTCGAAAAGTAAGATAAATAGTTTGTTTAAAGCAAAATCCCTCATATGCAAAAAACAAAATGGAAAAAAAAAAAAACATTCTTTCCAATAAAAACAAAATATAAAGGAAAGTTATATCCAAAAGAAATCAAATAAATTTAAACGATTGTTTAGTAGTAACAAATAAAACAAAAAAGGGGATCTTAGAAATAAATTCAAGATATATAGATGTAAAAATTAATTTTATTTTAAGGAGAATTAAAAAAAAAGACATAAAAGTCCTGAGGAAAAAACCTCATTAAATTATTCACAGAAGACACATTTTTTAACCTGTCTACCACTTTGAGTTTAAAATCATTCAACTAATTGATTTCGAAAGTAAAAGGCCTTTTTTCGTCCATAAAAGGCATTACTGACAAAACATAATGATAAAATCTCCCACAATATCAATTCGTTAGGAGGATTTCTTTATTAGATTAATTATGGAGGAGAAAACGGCTGAAAAACTCATCGAAGAATTTTTTTTTAAAGAAATAAAAAGTACACGCTTAAAAAAAAGAACAAATGGATGAAAAATCAAGAAGAAAGATTGAGAATAGATGCACTTGTTTTAAAGCATGTTTGTTTCTTTTATCATTATCAGTTCCTCAGAGTGAGATTATCTAGGTCGTCATAGCAACAGGTGTGGTCTATCTTATCAAATAAGGTAGGGGACGCATGATCGATTGTAGCCTTCTCATTGGTTGGAGTGTTTTGGAGAGATCGAGTGTTAATTCTGACTTATCGTTTCTTCGAAAACACGTGCAAGACGTTGTGTCTGCTGTCAGGAATGCGGCATTCTGCTTCAATACTTTCGTTTTTAACATTTTTTTGTTTTGTTTTATTATTGAAGCTTGCTTAATTACTTTATTTTCTGGGTTTTTCTTTTCTTTTTTTTTTTGGTTCAATCTTTGATTGGAGATAAGATTTCTTGGCAATCCATCTTTTACGGAATTTTCACGTCAAAAAGTTGCATTTTTTTTAAGGATAACTAACATTAGAGAATTATGGCATGGAATTTTTCAGCTTGTATAAAAATACATGCCCCCCCCCCTTATTGTTAGGGATCGGGGGAGAAAATTCTCCTAAGATAAGTGTTATTATTTTAAAAATTATTTTATATATTAGTGTTTTTCACTCTTTTGAAGGAAATGATTATTATGATGTTGCTCTTTTACGATGTTAATTATTAAGAACATTCTTTTTTTTAAGGAA